GGAATTAAGATTTTGGTCCCTAAACAGCTGTACATCAGTCAATCATAACTCATGATGTTTCTTCAAGAGTATAGATGCACAGAACCCTAAAATCAAACTTTTTGAAGGAAAGTAAAATATATGATATGCATGAAGCAGAAGCAATGGAAATCATAAAAAAAAATAATGAAGGTGACTGTGGGTGTTCTTTGTAGCACTACAGGAATTTTTATGGCATGCTGTTTGCAAAGCAAAGATTTGGGTCTAATTTCAGGCATGCTGTGCACACTAGAGTAGACGAAGATGCTGTAGCTCCACACTGGTGCTGTGCAACAGATTGGAATCGCACCTTTGGCCTGTGCTTGCTGAGGGAAATGGGGTACATTTTGGATTAATATGAGAGTTGCAAGCGTGTTTGTGTGCTGAGGCAGGCAAAGGCAGCTGAGAGTCCCAGCTATTGGTGAGCTGTTACCCAATGAATCACCGTTGCATGTTAATTATGTATTGGTGACTTGCTGCTATGTTGTCTTGGTCAAGTGGAGTCCCCTGCTGGAGTGAGTGTTCCACAGCATGAAGGATAGGATGTGGACATGATGGTTCAATATCCTGGTGCTAATGTGTATTTTCTCTGATAGGCAGCAATATCACCAGTGGCAAAAGGACTGTAATGTCATGGTTGGCACCCAGACTTCCAGGGCACTGTGTACAGCTTACATTTCATATACTTGGGAAGTGCCTGGCAGTAGCAGCTAAGTTCCTTTGTTGAATGTGTGATATTTTTATTTTTTATTTTTTATTTTTTTTCTCCCTCCAGTGGTTACTTAGCATTCAAATGTGAAACGTTATGTAAAGAATGAAATTGCCCTCCTGGCAACCAGGTTTTCCAGTGCTTTACAGTTTTCTAGGCTATAGAACTTCTTGCTTTTCACATCAGAAACTCCCAACCTAGTTGACTCTGTGTCAAAACTTTTTTTTATATCTCTGTGTTTGACTTCCTAGCTAATGAAAATTATCTTCAGATCTGCATGGGTGGATCTTGACTCCAATGTTCTTTCTGCTTAAATGTATGGGACTCCTTCTAAAGTCTGTAGGAGCTCTGCTTATGAAAGAAGATAGACTACCAATGTCAAGATCCACCATATGAAGCAGCAAAAAGAGCTTTTTACCCTCTATCCCTAAAACTCATCTCAGTGCTGAGTAGCAGAAGAACATTTCTAACCAGCAGTGTGTGAAGTCCCCAGCTATAACGGAGCTTTGACTAAGCGAGAGGAAATGACAAAGTCTGAGATGTTTCTTTAGGTGCAGTTGGTCAGGGAGCAGGATTATAGAGTGAGGTAGCAGACAGAGGAACAGTAAGATGCAGTGAACAGTGAAATCAGATGTAAGTCATGAGCTGAAAGATTAGGATCCAGCAAAAAAACTGAACAGAAACTGAAAGAGAACAAGATTGGGAGGGGCAATATTTATAACTCTGGTTTAGTTTCTGCATACATTTAGGGGAACTTTTTTAAAATCTAGGAGTTTTGTAAATAGTGTATTTCCACAAGTTCTTTGAATTTATCACTGAAACACTTCTGAAAATCTGCTTTAGTGTGTTGTGCTTTTTGTCCCAAGTATATTCAGTCTGGCATTATCCATGCATTCAAAATGCTTGCCCTTTTCTTTTGATCCAAATGCCACAGTAGAATCAAAAATCTGTAATTTCTAGTATGTGATGCACTTGTGCTGAATATTTCCTGTCTGCTGTGTGACTGAAGAGCAGTTATCTGTAAGTTGCAAACCCGTAATGGTTTGTGCTCCATGGCCACCCTGCACTGAATGTCTGGCAGGTCTTGGGGTTGGATTCTGCTGAGGCTGCTTGGTGAGGTGGGGACAAATGGCATCACTGTGGTCATGCTGCAGCGCTGTGTTGGGCTGCAAGTGTGCCTGCAAGTCTTATGAACAAAGTGCATCTTCTTGTGTATCTTCTGTAGACATTATAAGAGCTGCCTGAATATTATGCCTGAGTATTATCTCGCTGCTGTTGCCCTGAAAACTCACTTTTTTTGTCTTGCTGACATAGTTTTTAAAGACTTTCCCAGGACAGTAACTGTAAACATAGAGATGTACACATTCTTTCTGATACACGTCTTTTGATGGACATCTCTTGTGGAAGCCAGGGAACCGGCCAGTTCAGAGATCCTGGCTCTCCCCTGGATAGCTTCTCCCTAGGTGAGACACTTTTATGTCATGCAGAGAAAAAGTGTCACTCCCAGAGGCCCTAGAGTTGAACATGTTAATTTGTTACACCCCATTGGTTTCCCTCCCTATCAGTCCACCCCGATACATGTATCCAAGCTTCCCCTGCCCCTCTCCTTCTCTATAAATACCCCGGTTTTTTCCCCAGTTGAGGGAGCTGCTGTCACTGAGGGCCCTGCTATAATAAAGGCTATTTCTCAGTGGAATGCCATACAGCTCTCTAGTCTCTCTCTCCGCATTGCCTGCACGCTGTCGCTGAGCTGAAATCACTCACCGGGCAGAGGACGTGCTTGTGCACCTGGGCAGTCCTTTTCAGGACAGCTTCTTCAGGGTAGTCGCGGCACCCCTGTCATTGACACCACCACGACAAGTGGCACCCAGCGTGGGGCACCCGAAGAGCCCCTGAAGAAGCATCCGCCTACAGTTTTAACTGCAGAGCATGCCGCTGTTGGAGCTGCCACCCCCCGAGGAGAACCACTTGCGTTCTAGCAAGGCTAGAAGGGCTGCGACCGGGACCCTCGCTGACCATCCGGGCTAAGAAGACAGAAGATAGAAGAGCCCTTGAGGACCGGCCGCCAGGTAACCACCCACCCACCAGCTTTCTGTTGGCCTCATCGGCATCGGCCGAAGAAAAAGTGTGAGTCACCCCATTAAGGGTTTTTTGGGCTTTTCTCATTTTCGTTTGCATTTTGCTGCTGGGTGGGGAGTGAGAAGGATGAGGAATCAGCTTTCCAGACCCAAGCTGACCCCTCCTGAGAGGGACTTTTATATCCAAGTTGTGGGCACCCTCAAAGCAGGAAATTTTAAGTTTTCAAAAGGGGAGTTAAAGAGATTTATTCATTGGATTGTTAAACATTTTAAAGTTGATTCTACTTCTGTTAAATCGGGAAAATTTTGGGACAATGTGGGGAGAAAGTTATATACTGCTCAGGCAGGGGGAGATTTATCAGTTTCCAAGTTTTTTCCTTTGTTTCAAACCATTATACTTTCTGTTGAGAAAGTGGGAAAAAGGGTTGATGAAGTTTTGGGCCCCCAGTTGAAACCCCTGTCCCCGTTACCCTCTCCAAGTGTTCCTAAACCCTCTTCCCTACCTGAGGGACAGTTGGCGGGTGGACGTAGCCACCAGGCACAGGGTTGCTGCCGTCTCCCTGATCCCCCCCCCACCGCCTCTCTACCCTTACCAGGACAGAACTGGCCATGCCGCTCTGGACCTTTCCTCCACCCTCCTCCCTATGCCCACATACCCGGTTGCATCCCCCCCAGTTCTTAATGTTAGTAAAGATGGCACCGGCAACGTGGCCAGCCCCGCCATCTTGTCTCCTTCACACCTAGGTTTTCCCGCCTTTGCATCTCAAAATGGCCACTTTCCCGCCTCTACCCCTTCTCTTCCTGTCGCGCCCTGCTCCTCTTCCCCTCCCATCGCGTCGCTGGGTGTAACCGCGTCGAGCCCCTCCTCTTCCATCGGGAAACCCCTGCCCGTCGCGGACCCCAGTCACGCCCCTTCCAACCAGAGCTCCGCCCCCAATAGCATTCCCACCACCAATCCCCCCAACACTGGGACTGGAAGTGGTAATTACAGCAACAGGAAGGAAGCCATCTTGGCTTCCTCAGCCACTCACAAGTGAGCCAGTACCGGTTGCCCGAAATGGCCACGCACTGTCATCAAGCGCCCCCCATCTCCTCCAAGAGATGAGGACAGTGAGTCCTCATATTCAGAATCTGAATATGAGGACCACTGGGCCAAGGTACAGAGGGAAGCCACGCGGGCAGGGAACTCAGCCCTGTCCAGAAAGATCTTAGCTTTCCCCGTAGTACATAAGAAGGACAGGGCAGAGGCACTCATTAATGTATGGGAGACCCTACACTACAGGGAGTTACAGGAGCTGTGCAAAGCCGCTGAATAGCATGGCCGGGGCTCTCATTTTTTCAAACACCTACTGGAAGCCACCTTCACCACCCATGACATGGTGCCTCATGATATTAAAAATATCATGAACTGCGTTCTCTCTCCAGCAGAATACATGCTATGGGAAAGGCAGTGGAAAAAACATCTGAAACAGTTGGCAGATGCATGTGCCAAAGATGCCAACAAACCAAATTTAACTCTAGAACAACTGGCAGGAGAAGGTGATTTCCAGAAGCCTCAAGATCATGCCTGAGAGCTGCCCGAGGCAGCCCTACATGACATTGCCCATGCCGCCAAGATATCTCTTTTTACCACCCCTGATGACAAAGTGCCAATGCAGTGCTTCACCAGCATCAAACAAGGGGCAAGTGAATCCTTTATCAAGTATGTAGATAAATTAAAATTGGCCATTGAAAAGCAAATAGAGAGCCCTCAGGCACAAAAGGAATTATTAGTAAAAATAGCAATGGCCAATGCTAATTCGGAGTGGAAAGCAGTCTTAGGGGCCCTTCCACTTGACCCTGAACCAACCATAGATCAGATGGTTGAAGCCTGCATCAAGCACTCCTCTGCCTTAAGTGAGAATACTTGTGTAGCACTTGCAGTCGCAAAGGGAGTGGCAGAAGGGATATCTGGCGCCTGTGTACTAGAGAGAATGAGAGACTCAAGCACAAGTCGCTGCTTTAATTGTGGCGAACCTGGACATTTTTTTAAAGACTGCCCGGAGAGACATTTTCTACAACCACCTACCCACCAACGGTTACCCAGATCAAATTGGCGTTCGGGAAACTTCAAGCAGAGCGCAGGATGGCCCCGCGCTCTGACATCAAATCAAATGCTGCACCGCTCCTCCTGCCAAATCCACCATCCCGCCTCCATGGGGACCACAGCCTCAGACCCAGCAGGTGGAGCATTTCAGATGGGAACCCGGCGCCAATTGGTAACCAGACTCTCCTTGCAGCTTAAGGGTGACTGTGTTTATAAGATCCCCACAGGGAAACGTGCACCACCAGGCGGTCCCTCCAACATTTTAATACTTGGGGATCCAATTAACTCTCCGGGACAAGTCCATATAACACCTGAAATCCAGACCTTACACCCAGGAGATGAAATTTTCATCTCTTTAACTTGCACAGACCCTCCTTATTTTTTAAAACAGCAGACTCCAGTGGCACAAGCCTTTTTGTTACCAAATGACTGTCCGGAACAGGTTCCCCTCAATCCCACCACCATGTGGACTCAGGTTGTGGGCTCCAACAAGCCTATCATGGAATGCAGCCTGTTCTGTAAAGGGGAAAAGATCCATCGCCCAGGAATGCTGGACACAGGAGCGGACGTTACCATCATTGCCCATTCCGAGTGGCCAGCCAACTGGGAATTGCGGCCTGTGGTGGGGATGATTTTGGGAATTGAGGGAGTGGCAGTATCTATGAGAAGCAGGCACAATGTAATAGTAGAAGGTCCCGAGGGAAAAATGGCGACCATCCGGCCATTTGTTGTGAGGTCACCAATCACCCTCTGGGGAAGGGATCGCCTATCCCAATGGGGGGCTTCTTTACATATTCCCAGTAGGGATTTTTAGTGGGGGTCACTGAAGAACGCGCTAAGCCCAACTCACCTGGAAACAACACCATCCAGTGTGGGTTGATCAGTGGCCCCTTTCCAAAACCAAACTGCGCATACTAGAAGCCCTTGTGGAGGAACAGCTCGCCAAGGGCCACATTACAGAGACCAACAGCCCTTGGAACTCCCCTGTCTTTGTTTTATGCAAACCAGGCAAAGACAGGTGGAGACTCCTCTATGACCTCCGAAAAATCAATGAGGTCATTGAGGATATGGGCCCCCTCCAGCCTGGTATGCCCTCACCTTCCATGCTTCCTCGGGACTGGAAGCTTGCAATCATAGACATCAAAGATTGCTTTTTTAACATCCCTCTCCATCCTCGAGACGCCCCCAGGTTTGCATTTTCAGTTCCCTCCCCAAACAGACAGGCGCCTCTAAAAAGGTACCATTGGCTTATTCTCCTGCAAGGGATGAAAAATTCTCCCACCATCTGCCAATGGTACGTAGCCCACATCCTATCTGTGGTGAGGGTCCTGTTCTCAGACGCAGTTATATTACATTACATGGATGACATCTTGGTTTGTGCCACTGATGATGACTACCTCCACCGGACTTTGCAAAAGACTATAAAGACAATTGAGGATGCTGGGTTTGAGATCCACGAAGACAAAATCCAGTACACCTGCCCTCGGACCTACCTTGGACTCCGGATTCATGAACGGACCGTCGTGCCCCAGCAGCTGACCATCAGAGACTACCCCAAGACCCTGCGGGACCTACATCAGCTCTGCAGGTCCATCAACTGGGTATGTCCTCTGCTTGGGATAACGACAGAAGTCCTCGCCCCCCTCTTCAATCTGCTCTGCGGCAGCGAGGAAGGACCTTGATTCACCGCGCGCCCTCATGCTGGAGGCCCGAGAATCCATCACCAAGGTCCAGGAGGCCCTGTCTTCGCAGCAAGCTCACCGGTATGAACCCAGCATGCCCTTCCAGCTGGTTGTCCTGGGTAAGGCCCCATGCTTACACACTCTCGTTTTCCAATGGGACATGGCATTGAAAGATCCACTCCTTATCATTGAGTGGATCTTCACACACAGTCAGCCCACCAAAACTATCACGACTCCCAAAGAAATCATGGCTGAATTCATTAAAATGCAAGAGTTCGTCTCTGCGCTCTTGCGGGGTGTGAGTTCACATGCATTTTCCTTCCATTGACAACTGGGGATTTGGAGCCGTTACTCCAAACCAACGAGAGCCTTCAGTTCGCTCTCGATAGTTATTCAGGCCAAATTTCTATAAACCCACCTGGCCACAAATTATTTAAAACCACGTTTAATTTGGTCCCCAAATTGTTACTTAGCAAAACACCACTCAAGGCTCTGACAGTTTTTACTGACGGCTCGGGGAAATCTCACAAGTCAGTAATGACTTGGAAGGACCCCAGGACACAGAAGTGGGAGTCTGATGTCCAAGTGGTTGAGGGATCACCACAGATTGCTGAATTAGCAGCCGTCGTCAGAGCTTTTGACAAATTCCAAGAACCTTTTAATCTGGTGACCGATTCGGCTTATGTGGCTGGAATAGCTATGAGAGCAGAACATGCATTTTTGAAAGAAGTCTCTAACCTAAATTTATACAAATTGCTTTCTGAATTAATATATCCCATCTCCCACAGAAAGCAACCAGACTATGTCATGCATGTGAGGTCACACACTGACCTCCCAGGTGCCATCGTGGAGGGTAACAAGAGAGCGGACACCTTAGCCATGCCTGTTGGAGCGGCCATACTCCCGGACATTTTTGCGCAAGGGACAAAAAATTGTCCAACCAATTTTACCATCAGAACGTCCCCGCCCTGATGAGGATGTTCAAGTTACCCAGGGATCAGGCCAGGGCAATAGTTGCTACCTGTCCCAATTGTCAATTTTTTCAGGTTCCAGCAATGAATTATGGGGTTAACCCCCGCGGACTCAACAGCTGCCAAATTTGGCAGACTAATGTTACCCACGTCCCGTCCTTTGGGAGAGTTAAGTATGTTCACGTTTCAGTGGACACTTTTTCTGGTGCAGTGTTTGCCTCAGCCCACGCAGGTGAAAATGCCAAACATACCATCCGACATTTTCTCCTTGCGTTTGCTACCCTGGGAGTCCCCTAACAAATAAAAACAGATAATGGACCTGCTTACACCTCTCACAAGTTAAGAGATTTCTTCAGTCAGTGGGGGGTGAGGCACACCACAGGCATACCTCACTCTCCCACAGGGCAATCAATTGTGGAAAGGACACACCAGAACCTTAAGAGAGTCCTTGATCAGCAGCGGGGAGGAACAGAGATCATTCCTCCCATTGAGAGGCTCTGTAAGGCTCTGTATGTTATGAATTTTCTGAATTGTTCACCTACAGAGACTGACCCCCCTGTAATACGGCACTTCTCCAATTTGACCCATGCCAAACTCAAGGAGAAGCCGCCGGTGCTGATTAAAGACCCTGAATCAAAGCAAACACTGGGACCTTTCCCATTGATTACCTGGGGGAGAGGGTATGCTTGTGTGTCGACACCATCTGGTCCTAGGTGGCTCCCAGGGAAAAATATAAAACCATACTTAGGCCCTGCAAACCCTGCACCAGAACCAGATCAATCAAAATCTCCTGAGACCCACACAGGTTCTCAAAAACAACAAGCCACCGCAGCCTGGAGACGGAGATGTTGCTGGAGTCCACTGAGCTGGCCCACTGCCAGACCATCGATCAGACGGCGACTGACACAGCTTACTGCCAGACCACCCACTTCATATAAGCCAAATCGTCATGCCATCAAGACTGCCAAAAGACAAGAACCAACATACAGCTCAACACTGTGAAACGTACAAGTTCCTCTAACTCCTTTCCCTTCCCTTTTCCCTCCCCCTCTTCCCTTTCTCACCTTAAATACCTACCCGCAAACTACTCACTTGCTAATTTGCACAAAGATGCAACTTAATGCTGCTACTGCTGGTGCCTTGGCCATGTGTCCCCCTCTACGCAAAATGGCCCCACCAGCAACCAACTACCTCATCCCCAATACCCATTCCTCATTTATTTTTTTTTTGGAAAAGGGGGGAGAAACAGGAGTAGAAAGGGGGAGAAGGAAAAATAACATCTTTCCTTGTTCAGCCCTAATCTGTTCACATTCATTTACAGACCATGCAGACCATGGAATATAAGACCATCCTTGCATTCCTGACCACCTGGATGCTCCTGACAACATCAGCTGTGGATGCCTGTCTAGTAGCACAGCCCCAGGTTAACGTGTGGATCATCCTCACCAAGACTCTAAAACAGGACCACATGTGCTTGTCCATGGGCAGCACCACCAACCCTCTGTCATCCTGCCTGGTGGGGGTTCCTTTGAAGCCACACGAATACCCTTTCACAAGGAAAAGACCCAACCCGGTAGACACTTAGGATGAGTGGACAAGGATCTTGCCCCATGCACCAGAGGAACCCCAGGAATTGGAGCTTTTGGGGTCCTCCAAGGCTACCTATTGTATAAATTTTGACTATCGCCCAGTAGTAGGCCAGGCATGGCCTGCCTCGGAATACCATAGGGCAATTAAATCAAAGAAAAATGTGACCCCCAACAGCAAAATCTACAACCAGTTTAAATGGTGCAATTATACCAGCAGTACACGATCCGCCTCCTCTCGCCATCCCAGAGTGCTGCCCTGAGGAGTGTTCTTGATCTGTGGGGATAGAGTGTGGGCAGGAATCCCTTCCTGACTCCAGGGAGGTCCTTGCACGCTTGGACAGCTTACCATCCTCACTCCAAATTCAACCCTAATGTATGATTGGCAAAGAAAAAATAAATTGGCCCACCAAGAGAGAGATCTCACCCTATTAGATGAAAATTGTGATAGCCAAATTGAAGATTGGTCGTATACGAAGAGGGTAGTAATGTCAGCATTTTTGCCGTGGGTAGCTGCTGCGAAAGCCCTCGGTGAGCTTTCTCACCTGGAGTGTTGGCTTGGTAAGCAGGCCAACCTGATCTCCTCTGTTTTGAGTGACCTCTTGGCAGATGAAGAGACTGTTAGGCACGCTACTCTACAAAACTGAGCTGCCATTGACTTTCTTCTCCTGGCCCATGGACACAGCTGCGAGGAGTTTGACGGGCTGTGCTGCTTTAACCTGTCCAACCACAGCGAAAGCATCCACGCACACATCCAGAAAATGAACAACATGGTACAGGAACTCAAAAGATAAAAGGAGCCCCAATGGTTCGAGGACCTTTTTGGAAGCTGGGGACTCAAAGGATGGGTTGCCTCCCTCCTTAAGAACATCTTTTGGATTTTTTTAATTATCGTTATTGTTCTATGTATGTTCTCCTGTTTCAAAAGGTTGATAACTAGGTCTCTGGGAGATGCCTTTTTATTAAATAAAGAAGGGGAAGTTGTGGAAGTCAGGGAACTGGTCAGTTCAGAGATCCTGGCTCTCCCCTGGATAGCTTCTCCCTAGGTGAGACACTTTTATGTCATACAGAGAAAAAGTGTCACTCCCAGAGGCCCTAGAGTTGAACATGTTAATTTGTTACACCCCATTGGTTTCCCTCCCTATCAATCCACCCCGATACATGTATCCAAGCTTCCCCCGCCCCTCTCCTTCCCAATAAATACCCCGGTTTTTCAGAGTTGGGGGAGCTGCTGTCACTGGCTCCCTTCACTGAGGGCCCTGCTATAATAAAGGCTATTTCTCAGTGGAATGCCATACAGCTCTCTAGTCTCTCTCTCCGCGTCGCCTGCACACTGTCACTGAGCTGAAATCACTCACCGGGCAGAGGATGTGCCTGTGCCCCTGGGCAGTCCTTTTCAGGACAGCTTCTGAAGGGTAGTTGCGGCACCCCTGTCATCGACACCACCGCGGTAATCTCTCACAGCCAGTGCGGTTGGGAAGGTGTTAACCTGACTATCCAATCCCTGGCCATTGTCAGAAAACTGTAAATCCTGAGAGAAAAAATAAAGTGTTCCTCTTTCCTTCACCACACCCCGAACTGCATCTGTGTGACTCATTTCGTTTCCTGCTGCAACATCTGGTGACCCCTGACGTGTGTTGCAGGTGACGGTTGCAGGGCACTCTCTGGCCCTGGGCCATGGCTGCTTTTGGGGTTTCTCCTGCAGACGCCCTGTTTCTGGGGGTGTGGCGTGCTGTCCTTGATCAGAAACAGATTGATGTTTCGGATGCTGACTTTCAGCAATTGTATGCTTATAGAAGAGCTGAAGGTTTTTTTCCTGTGGTTGAGGCGGTTTTTTCAAAGCCAGCTTGGGACGCGTTAGGCAATTGCCTGATCCGGGCTATGGTGGTGGCTTACAACCTTCACCTAGCCCTGCTGCTGCAGATCTGGCGGCGTGACTGCACTCTGAACAGCTGCGTGTCCTCTTCTGCCAGATTGGTAGCTGCTTTCTCTGACCTGGATGAGAGGGATGACTCTGACTCCGGTTGTGGGAGTGGGGCGGAACTCCCCCTCTCCCCCAGTGATGCGGAGCCAGGGGGCAGCTTCCCCAGGGTTGCTGGGGCCCCTGGCAGGTTGGATCCTGGCCCATCGGGGGCACCACAGAGCCAGTGGGCGTAACCTCACCTTGCCCTGTGGCCTGGAGGCGTAAGCCTGGGGTGGGGTCGCCTCCTTTGTGTGCCTTCCCGGTGCAGGCCGATGAGGGGCTGCCTGAACGGGGGGGAAGCGCTGCCCCTGGAGGAGGTGTCGGGGATGGTCCCATGTCCCTGTTGCGGCTGGGCTATGCCTTACCCTGCGGTTGGGGACGGAACGGGCCCAGGTACCATGCCTGTGGCCGTGAACACGCACACTGTTCCAGTGGAAGAGGGCCCAGTGCCACTCCGCACAGAGCAGCTGGTGCCAACTC